TCGGTAGAGGAAATGGTGTTTGAGGAGGAGAATGTAGTTAATGAATAATATGAGTAATAATATTTCAAAAAAAAAAAAAGTAATAGAATCTAAAGATTCTCGCATACCTTATTTTTAAAAGCAAATCTAAAATAAAGTATTTCTGATTCGATGTCTAATAACATAAAAACTATATATTAGTTTTTAGTTTCTTATTACTCCTGTACTTTAAAAACTAAAGCGTTAACATTAAGAATTTAACTGCTATATAAGGGTAAGAGATACTGTTCAAGGCGGTGGATAATCATGATAACAGATAAGCTGCGGCAGTAACGTCGATCATCAATCCGGAGTCGATCATCGACCTGACGTCGATCATCGACCCGAACATTGGGGGGGCCGCCCTGATATATTCCTGTTTATTGTTGATGGTCAGAGTGTTGTTGTTGTTGTTTTTGTAGTTGACATTGTTCGTCTGCCTTTGCCTGTTCTTTCGCTTCTTTTGTTTTTTGTTGAAGGCATTCTAGGTGGTATGCTTCATTGTCATAGAAGAAGCAACCTTCTGGGAGTTGGTGGTGATTGTTAATAGATTTGCAACTAATTGCAGTCCAGCACTTAGGACATGTGTGGGTATGGGTTTTAGGAGCAGGAGAAGTTGAGATAGTTGTTAATGTTGATGCAATAGCTTGGTTCATTTGATCGGTGTTTCTTTGCTTGTTTTTCTTACCAACAACAGGAGCTAAAAATGTAAAAGCATGAATAACACTGGTTGCAGAGTTGAATAGTGTATAAAAGTTGTCACAAAGGCATTTAACTGTTGCAGTTGTACGTGGTGCTTTGAAAAAGTGAGTTTTTTTGACTTGTCTGATGTTTACTGTGATGCAACTTGATGGTCCAAACTGAGGAGAGATTTTTCTAACTGTGCTTGGTTCGTCTTCATAGATAGCTACACCAAAGGTATTTGCATAGTTTGTATAGAAGGCATCGAGATCGAGTATATCCGGATCTTGAGTAATTGAAGTAGGCATGTTGGTGGATATTTTTGCTTAAAGACGCTGATGTAATTGTCTTCTTTGCAATAGTCAAAAATAAAGTTTTTAAAATTAAATTTTTTAAAATTTTAAAATTTTTTTAGCTTATAGATAACTTAAAATTTTTTTATACAAATATAAAAATTAAATGGAGTTATATATATATACCAAAAGATACATATACCCATATCATGTGATTATATATTTATAGTAAATACATATTATGTAATATATATTGTGTAATATATATTGTGTAATATAATATTTATATATAACATATATTGTGTAATATACATTAATATAATATTTATGTGTAATGCTTCCATCTAAATAGATTTTTATTGTATAACACTTATAGACAATCATATAACATTGCGTTAATTATCCGTATTTACTACCAAAATACGAGATCATGTTTATTATTCGGGTACTTACATTTATATCTATAATTGAACCACTGTATATAAATACGTACGTATATACGATATACATAAAAGTTGTCTTTCCACAATAATACTTTAATTCGCTAGGTGCTTAAAGGCTTTTTTGGCTTTATATATAACTACAAACAAGAAATTTATCTATTAGTAACTTGCATAATATGCACTGCTATTTAAATGAAAAAGTAAACTTATCATAGTTATATACTGTTGTCATATATAAATAGCTAATTGATTCTATCCAGGCATACCAAAACATTGTAATTAACTGGTAGTTATAATGAACAGCGAATTGTATCTAAAATTTAGTTTTAGAAAGCATGAAACTTACCATAAAGCAATGTAATTCAATTTATTTGAGTCATAATATGGTCAATAAAATCAACAAAACAAGCATGTATATATGTATATAGTATATAAATTAAGGTAATGCATATGGTTCATAAACAAGGATTTAGAAGAAAAATTCATATAACCTATAAACCTATCCTAATACAAAAGAACAATATATATATGCCACTCTGATCCTAACAATTAAAAGGGTTATTAACTATACATACTATCTTATTTTATACATCACATTTTACTCATGAAATAAACCTGATTATAATAAATTCAGCAAGTGGCAGAAGCATAATTTGTTAATATGAATATGAAATGCCATGCCGTTCATACTACACCTCACAACCAGCTTTGTTATATCCAATATTTTGACATTGCTGACATTGCATTGGTTTTCTAACCTTCTGTGTTTGTGAATATTTAGCATTAGAATTACTTTTGCTCTCTAATTCATATGAACCTTTAAAACGCTTTTTCTGTAAAGCACATCTTTTTGTATAAACTACTGGATTTTCAACTGTAATAATATCTTCATCACTAGAACTATAATTTGAAGTGGTTTCATTCTCATCATGCTGTTGTCTTTTATGTTTTTTATCTTTCTATTTTGGTGTATATTTGGTAATAAAGCTACTCATAATGTTCTCGAGCTCTTGAATTGCACTTGAGCCAGTGTTTAATCCAGCTTGAATGGCTTTCTTAGATAACCTATTGATAGTTGTATATGCTTTGCGATGATTAACTTTATTATAAGCTTCACTAAACGAGATGTTTGTAAACAAAAAGACAAGTCAGGAAAGGCTTGTTCTGATGGTTTCAAGTTTATATTATCACCCAACCCAATAATGAAAGGATGTAACCACGTTTGTGATTCTGGTTCAATTTGTTTTTCATCAATATACTATCTTCTCAATATAAGTATAATGTAAAATGCTGCGTAATTAGATACTTTCATAACTTGAAAAAAGTGTTTGCAAACAAAACTATATTGAATTAAACTAAGACACATGCACAGATGAGAATTATTTTTAAACAATATAACATAATTGCTTGCTTTGCGTCTGTGTCGGGTAACTTACCAAACTTCAAGAATAGATTCAATTTTTGTAGATGGTACTAGTTCCTTAGCCAAGATAGCAGGCACGTCCACTATATATTCAATGAAGGTATTAGAAATATTAATGGTATCTGATTGTTCTGTAGAGTCAAATTGTCCAGTCAAATTAAATGGTTCAATCTGATCAAATTGTTTAGTTGAATTAAGCCTCAAGTCTTGAAAATTAATAAGTCGTAATATATACAATACGGCCTGGGCAATCTCTTGCCTTGAATGGATAAAGAAGTTAGTGTTAAATAAGTGATAATCCATTTGTTAATATCAGGTAAGAATTTGAAACTAGCGTGAATAAGAGTAGATCCTGTAACAGAATAAACCCAATTTTTATATTTAACAAAAGTAGACATGTGGTCAATCTGCTCATCAATATGCTTTACAAGATTAATTAATGAAGTACTTCCATTTACTGCATTTTTTATAATGCCATTTTGCCCTTCAACTCTCTGTGTTGACTACATTCCTGTGGTAAAAACTTTAGAAATATAGCAGAGAGCCCAACGTTCCTTTTTACTAGAAAGAGCACGATTAAGATATGGAGATGCATCTGGAAATTTTGTTAAAAGGTTATCCCATAAATAGTTGAATTGTTGATATAATAGTGAGTTACGCATTTGATACCAATCTTATAAAAATTCATGATAATGTTCACTCAGCTTTCCTTTTAAATTTTTTATTAAGTTCTGCCCAATATGAAATATACAATGAATCTGATTTGTATCAGGTAAAATACTAGCTATTGCAGCATTCATAGCAAGATCATTATCGGTTATTATCGTTAAAGATGCGGTTTTTGTGTTTGTAATTAAAGTTTGTAAGACCCATTCATAGCTCTCTACTGTTTCATTATTCATAAGAGTTTGTCCTACTAATCGAGAACGATTATTGTTATCCACTATCACAAAAAACCCCAATGACATTTTAAACTGATTTGTTGAATAATTATTGTTATGTTGAATAACATTCTGATACCGCAAATACAAGTCATGTTGATCAGGTGATATCCAGAACAGAGAAGTAAGAGAATTATTTGCAGAGTCAACCTTCTAATTAACAATCCACCTAGGATCTTCAGCTTTCAATTCAAGAAGGTGGTTAAGCAAAACAGCCACCTCACATTCAATACAATTTTGCTATTTGAAGGTTTGAATAGCATTTGAGAAGTCTTGAGGTAAAAAAAAAGCATTGGAATACCGTTTCATTAACATTTGGTATTGGGTTCTTATATTTATATTACCTATTTCAGTCCAAAACTTAATATCTTCTAGCATATTTTTAGAAAAAGTTCGATACTTAGTAGCAAACTTATTAGTTTTGTCATTTATTGGATGGTTATTATGACTTAAACAAAGAAAATTGATTTTTAGTATTCCTGTTGTCTTGGGACAGCTAGCACGAATTTGCCAATGACACCCACTATGTTTACTTCATTTTGTCATTGATTTTCAACTATATTAGTCTTGTTCTTTATAACATTGTAACCCTGATGTTCACAAGCATAACAGCAGCTTCGACAAACATCATTATTGTATTCAGACCCGTATATAATACTGACAAAATTCTGTGATCTTGTATAGAGAGAAACAAAATGGTCTAATTTATCTCAGCTGCAAAATGTCTGTTCAATTACTGGTGCATCCACTATTTCAGCAAAGCTTTGATCACTTTAATTAAATATTGATTAATTAATAAGTCAATAATAACAAAAACAAAAAGATTAGACTTACTTTACTGACGTCAGTCTAATTATTTGTGCATCCATTGATATAGCCAGATCCTAATCACTTTAGGTTTTATTAATAAAGGAAGCTAATTATGATCGATTCAAAGCAATTACAAAAGGTTTACACACTATTATCAGCTAAAAATTGCTCTTCAAAAGTTTCTGTATTATCTTCATTTCTATTTTGGTAATCTAAAATCTGCCAATACGATTTCTAAACGAACTAGGTAGGGTTAAAAACTGAATACCTAAAAATTAGTATTATGACAAGTTAAATAAAGCATACTTGCTCAAACCTTACAAAATAAAACTGACACAAGTTTTTTTAATACCGTATACACATAGTTGAGTGGGGTAACTGCCTTTTCCTTATACTTTTGCATTTGTTGTATGGTCGTATTAAGATAAAAAAAATCCTACAATGCTTATTGAGGTAACTACCCTTTTCCTTATGCTTTCGCATTCGTATATATTCATTATTGCAAAAAAGGTAAAAAAAATGCTTCTTGGTTAAGCAAGGTAACTGCCTTTTTCTTACACTTTTGCGTTTGTTATAAAATCTTATTAAGGTAAAAAAAAAACAATGCTTCTTGGTTAAGTGGGGTAACTGCCCTTTTCCTTATGCTTTCACATTCGTATATATTCATTATTACAAGAAAAATAAAAATAAATGCTTCTTGGTTAAGCAGGCTAACTACCTTTTTCCTATGCTTTTGGTTCATTATACATTTGTTGTTACAAGAAAGGAAAAAAAAAAGCTTCTTGGTTAAGCGGGGTAACTACCTTTTTCTTATTCTTTCAGTTCGTTGTATGTTCGTTATTACAAGAAAGCAAAAAAAAGCTTCTTAGTTAAGTGGGGCAACCACTTTATTCCTTATACTTTTGAGTTCGTTGTACATTTATTATTAAAGGAAGGTAAAAAAATGCTTCTTAGTTAAGTGGAGTAACTACCTTTTCCTGTGCTTTCATGTTCTCTGTATATTTATTATTACAAGAAAGGAAAAAAACTTCTTAGTTAAGTGGGGTAATCTATAATTTCACATTTGTTGTACGTTCATTATTACAAGAAAGATAAAAAAAAAAGAAATGCTTCTAATTAAACGTTGACTTATTTAAGCTACGTATTGTTTACTCCTATTTTATTTATTATCTACAATTAATTTACCACATGATTTATTCTCCAATGCATGTGATCGTATTGTGATGTCGCAGAACTCGTTAATGTATATTACATGATTCTGATTTTTGTGCTACAAAAATATTGGGTATGCAAAATATATTTGTACCCTGCGGGTACAAATATATTAATTCAAATTAAATTTATTAAAATATAATCTATATTAATAGTTAATATTTAAAAAAAAATTTTTTAAATAACTTAATTTTTTAAAAAAATAAATCAGAAGCAAATTTTATAAATCTCTTAAAAATTTTAGTAGCCAAATTTGGGAGTCGTCTAAAGCGGAGATAAATCATGTAATCATCAGCCAATCAAATTATAGAATTTTGATGATCTTTAGCGAAGCAATACAAGAAAGAAAAATAAAAAAACCTAAAAATACAAAAAACTCAGTCAAAACCTGCCTTGGGTAGGTTAAGCAAAAATGTCAGGAAGGCAATTTTGCATATATATAACTACCTAAATCCTAATCTAACCCCTAACCTAAGATGGGCCTAACCCTAAAGTTAATTTAATCAATACTAATTATATCATTTATCTCCGCTTTAGACATCGCCAAATTTGTCTGCTAAAATTGATGGTTAAGGAATAATTAATTATTTCAAACTAATTTTTAGCTAGGATAGGTTAGAAGAAAACCTAAAGTGATAGTTATAGCATTAAGTAAAGCATGCAGTTAAAGCATATCTTTGTAAGAGCTATTTATTGATAAAAAGATCAATGTCTAGAGGTTGTATTATTGTTGAAGTATTATTTGAAGGAGTAAATGTGTTGGAAAAGTAAAATTTTGTACATTTAGCTTTGGCAGTAATATTTCAAGAAAGTTCATATTGATGTTGATAAATATTATGAATAGACTATAGCTCTTGGCAGTACCAAGATAAAAGATTGTTGGAGAGATTAATAAGAAAAGAATTTGTTTGTTCAGTAATATTTTGATATTATAGTATATAGTAGATGAAAAGATACTAGTAATTGTATATAATATAAAAAGGTAATGTGAATTTGAAGAGTTGGCTATAAAATTTAGTAGAATATTAAGAAGCGTATTTGAAAAATTATTTGAAATTTGAAGAGTTGTTAAAGTTGTTTAAATTATGTTAATAAGTTTGTAAGGAAGATTAATATTATTGTTTGGACAAGTAAGAAGGTAAAGAGTATTTTCAAAACTAGAGCATCGAGAACATGTTGATGTATTATAGAGATAAGGATAGCAAATATTGAGGTTTTCTATAGTAGAGAGATTGTTTGTAAGAATTTTAATATGAAAAGAGTATTTGAATGTATCACGTTCTAAAGGTTTATGTATTTTAAAATTTAAAACCTATTTAATTTCTGGAATATTCTTAATAAACTTTAGTATAGACCAATTTGAAAGTTCTTGAATTATAATAGTATTTTTAATAAAGATACATATTTTAAATGGTATAAGATAGTTTTTCTATAGCAAATGGTTTGGAAGAAATGAAAGAGAAAATATGATATGTGTTTTGTAACATTCTCTTTTAGCAAGTAAGTCAGCCTGATTGTGAAAAAAGTTGTTAGAGTGGGATTTAACTTTGTGAAGTTGTGTATTGATATTTTTAGTATTTTTAAGATAGTTTATAGAAAAGATAATATCCTAATTTTTGTTTTGTATAAGTTTGATAGGGAGAGGAGATTATAGATTTTTGATTGCAGTTTTGTTGTCAAAATAAATATTGATAGAAGAGTTAGATGGTAAAGCAAGAAGAAGACTGAAGATTGCTTCTAGTTCAGTACAAGTAGAGTCAGAAAATAAATGAGTATTAGCATTAAAGCAGATAGAGGTGTGAGATTTGCAGATCTATCCTATACCAGTTTGGATATTTGAAGATTGGATATTTTTAATAAAGCCATCTGTATAAAAATCTAAAGTATCGAGATTAAGATTATTTATAAAGTGAAGAAATTGAATTGATTAATTTTGGTAAGTAGATGAATTAACTATTTGTTGAATAAGTTGAACTTCATAAAAGGGTATATTTAATTGGAGTTGAGGTGAAGGAGTAGTTGAAACTAATGTATGGTTATTAATATGAATAAAAGCTAAAATTTCATAGTACTCAATTTGTAGTTGGTTATTATAAAACTTGAATTGATTATAGGGAAGTTTAAAAGAGTAAAGAGTTGGTAAAGATGGTAAAGTAGAAGAAGTAAGTGAGATAAGGCCAGATATTGAATTTGTAATTTTGTAGATATTGAGATGTATAAGATTAATTTGGTGAGAAAGGTAGATTTGTTGATTATTTGTATAAGAAATTTGAAAAGATAAAGAAGGATTAGAAGAAAAGGAAGAGAGTAAAAGATCAATAGTATTAGTAAAGGTATTTATAAAAGAAAGATTAAGAGAAGGCCAAATTGTAGATATAGAATTTGTTTGATTAAGTTGAGAAATTTGTATAAACCATGAAGGTTGGTGGCCTTTGGCTAGTTTATTTGTATGTAAATAAATGTTGTTCTATAGGAAAAGTTTAGTATTATCAGCAGTTGTAATTTGTTTAACAAAAAGTATTTTGTTATTTCTTAAATTATTTAAAGTTAAAGAAGGTGGGTTTGGAGAAAGAATATCATAAATTGTAGGTAGGTTTTCTGAATATTTGTGGGATAAGGTGAGATTTGTAAGTAATTAGAGAAAGAAATATTATGTTTGGTTAATTGTAAAAGATGAAAGATTAAAGTAAAGTTGTGTATTTTGCGATAATATTGATTTAATAGATTAGTGATAAGCTTAGGAGACCAAACTTTGGTAAGCCAGGCTTTGATGCAGAGAGTACCAATATTCTTAAGGATTGGTGAAGAGTTAAAAGTGCATTTGATGTTTGAAGCACTTAGTTTTTGAATAATATTATTTAGAGTTGGCAAATTAAAAGAAAGTAGATTAGTAAGAGTAACATTATTAGTGTTTTTTGCTTTTTTTTTTTTTTGGTGTTCAGGTAGGATCTTGCCCATGACTTTATTTATTGTTAATACTTTTATTACATGTATTACTATATTTCCATATTTACATATATCAAGTACACCAAGCTCAAACTCGAATCCTATTGGTTACCTACGTTTTGGCCGAAACTATCACTTGCGCGATAGGTGTCTCTATCCGCTATCTGGCCACCGATCCATTATCTGCAATCCAAATCTACCGGAGCAGTACGTCCTTATAGATAGCACTCACCCGGTATTTTTTCACCCTTCACTAGTCCTATTTTAGTACACTTTCTATGATATTATTCCTCGCATCTCTCATACTACTTATATCTAAGCTCTCAAATTTGGTAGTCTCTTCTGGGATATGGCCTCGTAGCCTTAAAGGCTACTTCTAATCTTGGTTATCTTCAGCTAGTCTGCTCAGGTAGTATCACGAAGAGAAACTCATGCTGGCCCAGATTAAGTCTCATTATTAACGCCTAGTTTAGTTAGTATACTAATTCCTATTACCTTTATAGATAGGTAATCCCGTATGTTGGTACAGGCTCGCTGTATTGCATTATAGGTTACTCCATAACTTCCAGATTGCAGGTTTCATATTACTTCTCTTCCATAGTTTGAGCTATAGTGTTCTGGTACCCTGACATTTTAGGTTACAGAGCTCTAGAGGTCTAAACCTAGTTGTGGCTTGCGGTCTATAATACTTTCAATTTCAGTATTTGGTGTTCCTTATCAATTTCTGGTATACAAACCCAATTTGTACAAATGTACTATCAGCCTGGTGAATCCAGCCATTTCGAGTTTTTATTATGTACCCCGAGTTTCAGCCTTCTCGCTCTATCCTCACAAGTTTCTTCCTTAATAGGCCAAGTAGCTTGGGGCCAGAGGTGCTTCTGAACTCTGAATAGACCAATCCTTTACTACAAGTCGTCCTCGTGTTCACCACTTTTCTCATTACTTCAGTTTTGTTACCGTTGTGTCACTCTCCCAATCAAGTACCCCAACCGCTGGAGATGTTGGTGCTGCCCCGGTCACCCCTAATCGAGGACTAACATGCGCAACCTTTCATGTAACAGAACCTTTCATGACCCATCATATGTAGTGCCACCACTTCACGATTGGACCTCCTTCTGGGAATTTCCTTTTCCAGTTTCGTACTTGCACTTGGACTTAACCACAGGGCTCCACATTCAATTATGGACCCCTATTAGGTTACAGAAGCTAAAATCCTAAGATTTTGCCTTCAGCCCAACTTGAACC